AGTGGATTTAGTCAACAATTCACATGACTTTTCAACTTACAAACTCTCATAATATCAAGTGTGCAAAATCTGTAAGGGTTGTGAAATAATGCAACTCAGATGGGGACTTGAACCCACGGTTTTTAAACAGATCACACACATGGCCTCAGGGCTTTAATGCAGCTCACCTTCTTGATGTCTCATCACAGAAAGGATTCAGTGAGACACAAAGTGATAGGCAAGAAGTGAATTCATTTAGAAAGAAACACACTGAACAGAGCATGGGCCATCTCAGAAAGCAAGAGGGGCCCCAGAGGATGGGGTTGTCAGTTTTTACAGGGTTGGGTAATTTCATTAGCTAATGAGTGGTAGGATTATTCCAATTATTTTGGGAAGGTGCAGGGATTTCCAGGAATTTGGTCACCATCCACATGTTGACCTTTTATAGTCGGCCTTCAAACTGGTGGCTCAGAAGGTAAAGAATCTGCCTGCAGTGGAGGAGACCCAGGTTGGATCCCTGGGTTGGGAAGATCCCCGAAGAAGGGAATGGCTACCCACTACACTATTCTTGCCTAGAGAATTCCATGGACAGAGGAGCCTGGCTGGCTATAGTCCATGGGGTCACAAAGAGTCAGACACAACTGAACAACCAAGACACACTTTGGAACTGCCATGGAGCAGGTGTCACTTAGCTAATGCTAATGTATTACAATGAGGTTACCATAAGGCTCAAAGTCCACTGGAAGTCAAATCTACTGCCATCTTCTACCTAGTTGGTTATAACCAGATTTTGTCATGCCCTATGGCTATGTCCTTTTATACGGTTCATGAGGTTCTCACAGCAAGTATACTGGGGTGGTTTGCATTCCCTCCTCCAGTGGATCACATTTTGCCAGAACTCTCTGCTATGGTCTGTCCATCTTGGGTGGCCCTACACGACATGGCTCATAGCTTCCTCAAGTTACACAAGCCCCTTCACTACAACAAGGCAGTGATACAAGTTGAATGAGTTACAAGCTGGAATCAAGATAGGCAGGAGAAACATCAACAACCTCAGATATGTGGATTATACCACTCTAATGGCAGAGTGAAGAGGAACTAAAGAGCCTCTTGATGAGGGTGAAGGAGGAGAGTGAAAGAGCTGGCTTAAATAAATATTAAAAAAAAAAAAACAACTAAGATCATGTCATCCAGCCCCATTATTTCATGGCAATGAGAGGAGGAAAAGGTGGAAGTAGTGACAGATTTCCTCTTCTTGGGCTCTAAAATCACTGCAGATGGTGACTGAGGCCTTGAAATCTGAAGACGTTTGTGACTTGGCAGGGAAGTTATGACAAAGCTAGACAGTGTGTTGAAAAGCAGAGACATTATTCTGCGGGCAAAGATATGCATAGTCATGGCTGTGGTATTCCCAATGGTCACATACAGTTGTGAGAGTTGGACCATAAAAAAGGCAGAACACAGAAGAACTGATGCCTTCTAACTATGGTGCTTTAGGACACTCCTGAGTGTCTCCTGGACAGCAAAAAGATCAAACCAGTCAATCTTAAGGGAAATCAACTCTGCATACTCATTGGAAGGACTGATGCTGAAGCTGAAACTCCAGTATTTTGGTCATCTGATGCAAACAGCCGACTCACTGGAAAAGTCCCTGATGATGGAAAAGATTGAGGGCAGAAGGAGAAGAGGGTATCAGAGGTTGAGATGATTGGATCGCATCACCAATGCAATGGACATGAACTTGGGCAAACTTTGGGAGATGGTGAGGGACAGAGGGGCCTGGCATGCTGCAGTCCATGGGGTCACAAAGACTTGGACACGACTGGGCAACAAAGCCTATGTCATTCTTTTAAAGGTTGTGCCCTACTGCCTTCCCTTCCGCTTCAGTTGGATTTGTGGGAACATAAAGGGTACATTCACCTCCTAAGACCTTTCCTTTCCATTAATGTAAGGAAAAATTATGTCTGAGCACTGTCTTCAAAAGACATCTAGCTTCTATAGCTCTTATTTTCCTTCACATTTCAAAAAGCAATGCTTTTCTATACTTGAAAGTCGACATCACTTTGCCGATAAAGGTCCGTATAGTCAAAGCTGTGGTTTTTCCAGTAGTCATGTACGGATGTGAGAGTTGAACTATAAAGAAGGCTGAGTGCCAAAGAACTGATGCTTTTGAACTGTGGTGTTGAAGAAGACTCTTGAGAGTCCCATGGACAGCAAGGAGAGCAAGGCAGTCAACTCTGAATATTCACTGGAAGGACTGATGCTGAAGCTGAAGCTCCAATACTTTGGCTATCTGATGCCAAGAGCTGACTCACTGGAAAAGACCCTGATCCTAGGAAAGATTGAGGGCAGGAAGAGAAGAGGGTGGTAAAGGATGAAATGGTTGGATGGCATCCCTGACTCAATGTACATGAGTTTGAGCAAACTCCGGGAGAGAGTGAAGGACAGGGAAGCCTGGCGTGCTGCAATCCATGGGGTCACAGAGTCGAACATGACTGAGCGACTGAACAACAACAAAATACTTGAAAGACCTTCTATAGAACTAAGGATCTAACCATTAAACATATTCAATGGAAACACTCAAAGTAATGATTTCATTACCCTTGCTTAATGACCACCCTCTCTTCCCTGGGAGCCACATCAAATAGGGTAAACCAAAACTGTGCAGTCTATGAAAAATTCACTATTTTATTTAATGAAACACTGTAATCCATGTAAATTTTCCATATAGCTTCATGTTAACTGCCTAACTCTAGGCTATCACAGATTTTAGTTTTACAACAGTAAGGTACAGACAAAAATTAAGACTTGTAACAGAAAAAGGAAAGACAGAGATTGGGCTGAGTCACTGTGACACTTATAAAATTACAAGGTTTATCAACGAAATAAAAAACATGCCTTTAAAACATTTTTAAAAGTGAGTCAGCCCCAAAGAATCGGAAACAGCTCTACTCACAATAGCCAAAAGGTGGAAACAGACCCAAATGTCCATCAACTGATGAATAAACAAAATGTGGTATCCTTTCATACAATGGAAAATTACTTAGCCATAAAAAGGAATAAGCACTGATACGTGCAATAATATGGATGATATTGAAAACATACACTGAAAGAAGCCAGATACAAAAGGCCACGTACTGTATGGTTCATTTATAGAAAATTTACAGAATAGGCAAGTCCATAGAGTCACTAGACTAGTGGCTGCCAGGGGCTGGGGCTGGGAAGAGGGAAGTATGGGGCAAGGGAGAAACAGAGAGTGACTGCTTAATGGGTCTAGGATCTCCTTTTGGGGTGATAAAAATGTTCTAGAACTAGACAGTGGTGATGGTTGCACAATGCTATTAATGTACTTGACGCCACTCAATTATACCCTTTAAAACAGTTAAAATGATGAATTTTATTATGTGAACTTTACCACCTTCCAAAGAAACATAGGTCACAACTTTCTATTTTATTATAGGAATAAGAATTGGAACACAGTTTATTCTACTCAGCTGAGCATACGTATACTAAAAACTGCAGGAATTCAGGGCAAGGTTTTGCTAACTATGTGCTCCTAAGGCAAGTTATTTAAGCTCTCTGAACCTCCCTGATCTATAAAATGGGCATAATAAAAGTATTTTATATAAATGTTATGAAGATAAAATAGAGATAAAACAATCTAAGCACAAAATCAGGCCCATTAAAATTAAATTGATCAATAAAATGATCAATCTCAGCCCTTGAGTAGGTGTCTTTTCAATATTCTGTGTGATGAAATTAGCAGGACGTATAAATCACTCGGACTGTATATGAGACTAGATGGCTGTCTGTAGGAAAGGCATTTGCAAGCTTGTTAGGTTTATAGCTCAACTAGCCTCTTTGTCCATGGAACACCATTTTTGCTTCAAAGAACAACTGACAGACAAATTATGGTTATTCAGACTTGGCTTTTTGGCAGACATTTTCTCAAAAAAGGACTTCATGGAAAACAATTACCAGTATTTTTTTTTCCAGTAACAAAATTCAAGCTTTCAAGTGAAAACAAGAATTTTGGAAAACATGTCTGCTACCATGAGCTTGACAGATTCCCATACTTAAAGATTTTGATGAAATTAGTAGTGATATTAATGTACTTTTTTCTCCAGTTTTCCTGAGAGATAATTGACATTCATCACACACAAAAAAACTGATTCTGTACCCTTTTTTTCTTCCATTAACTCAAAATTCACTTTCATTGGAACTGAAAGAGGAGACAACTGAGATTATTAATTCAAATTGAGATAAGCGAAACTACATGAGACCCTCCAGGAAAGCAATTTGGAGGCCTGCCTAGAGACATAGATTTTCTCTAGAGGATTTTTTGTTCAGTGTGAGCTCTGTTTTATCCTGTCCCAGTGAAAAGGCCACACAAAAACAAACTTCCGATTCAAGATGGGCTCCTCTGCTCACCAAAGGCCTTGCATAGGCTAAAAAATAGCACTAACACTGAAAATGGCCTCAGAAATGGTATGGGTTGCAGACTGAGGGTCTCTAATAGGGATTAAGGTGTGGTAATAACAAAAATTAAAAGCAGCAACCATTTTTAATGTATGCTGTTAGCAAGTGCCAAGCACTGATCTAGGAATTTTCTATTACTTCAATTTTAATATTCCTATGGAATTTGTGTTACAGCCCTGTTTTGCCCTTTTTTTCATTAGATCTGTATTATGTCACTTTTGAAACTACCATCCTAGTATGCCATTCTTCTGCCTCCTATTATCCTAGAAAACATGAAGGAAGCACTGAGTTCCATAAAAACTAGACTGTACTATCAATATCCACCATCCAAGTAATCCAATAATTACCAAACTAAAAGTCTGATACTTCTTCCTACAACAAATTCCTCTTGCAAAATGTTAACTTACTATTTCAGAATAAGAAATACAATACACTCCTTACAATAGTAAGATCTCAAAGAAAAGGAATCAAAACTACCTAAACTTCCAGGAATGCTCTGAGGCACCTATTGATTAAAACAAAGGAATATTTCAGAAACATACCTGTTGGAGCCATCTTTCATATGGACTTTGGCATAAAGAACATCCACCATGCCAGGATCATCATTCATGTATTCTATCCCTGCCATCTCTACTTCCAGGGGTTTGCCCCCTGAAATGTCACTGCAAAGGAAAAAACATTAGATTTTCATAATTTTTTAAGCTAAGAGGGCTATTATATTTTGAAACATGGTAAACATACAGAGTCAAATATTACAAAAATGAAGTTGTTGGGGTATTTTAATTTAACTAACATGATTTAACTGTCCTTCTAATTTCAAACTGATACATGTTTAATGAACACAAACTAGAACCACAAGTATTCCCAAAGTCACACCATATCTATCCCAAGACCAGTTTATTATTAATAGCATATCTATCTAAGAAATGTCTAATGAAAGACCAAGTGATGACAGTTCTGACTGACAGGGCATTTACTGCACTGCCCACCTCTCCAGCTGTTAGGGAAATTAAAATGGATGTGGTCTTGTTCAGGGTTCAGAAGTAGCGGAGAGGCCTCCAACCAACTTCTGACCTTGTCTGGGCCCTGCCTGGACTATGTGCCTGCTTGTGAACACACCAATCATTACCAGTAAGTCAAATGGCACTTTAGATAAGAAAGGGAGTGGATCTTGGAATTTTTTAAGCCCCTGGAGGCCTGGCTAACCCCACTGGAGCCTAACGAAATTTGGTGACTCACAAGATGAAACAATCAGCATCATAAAAGCAAAACCACAGCTGCATTTTTGCACACAAACTGATGATGATACCAGTTTGTGTCCTGGGATTATAAATGGGAGCCCCCACAAACTGCAACTCAAAATCTCGCCCACAGAGTAGATGAATGGCTCAGGGCCCTTCTCCATTGAGACTCCAGATTGCTGTTAATAAGGTATTTCCAAGAAGGGTTCAAGTATGGGTGTAGGTGTCAGCTCAATTTGGTGATGTGTACTCTGCATCTTCTCTCTATTGTTTCTATTTCTTTTTTCCCCCAATGACTGTATATTGAAATTAAGTTAAATAATCTGCTATTAGAAGTTAAAATTGTTTAAATGTGTGTAATGAGTAGTTTCTTGTTAATAAATCCTTCAAACCTAAAACAAAGCAAAACATTCAGCAAAACACCAGTTTTTACCTCATTATTTCTACAAAGTGCAAACAGTATTTTATGCATGTAACAACAGTAAAGGTGCAAATTGGTATCACATCTTTAAGAGCAATTTGGCAATATTTATAAAAAGTCTTCAAGAATAGAAACCCTTTGCTCAGGCACATATCCAACCACAGCCAATAAAGAAAGTTCTTTCAGAAGAATTCCAACTGATAAATGTATAAGTAAAAACAGAATCAGAATATCACTATTTTTCAACTCCTGATGAAATATTTAATCAGTTTCATTATTTGTACAAAGGATGGAAAGTGGAAGTGTTAGTCACTCAATCATGTCTGACTTCTTTGCGACCCCGTGGACTGCAGCCCTCCAGACTCCTCCGTCCATGGGATTTTCCAGTCAGAAATACTAGAATGGGTTGCCATTCCCTTCCCCAGGATATCTTCCCAAGTCAGGGATCGAACTCAAATCTTCTGCATTGCAAGCAGATTCTGTATCATCTGAGCTGCCAGGGAAGCCACCAAGGATGGGGATAAGAAAAATTAAACATAAACATTATATACATACACACACATATATATATATGCTTATACATATGTAAAATCTCAGAACTGATATAATACAAAGAAGATCAGGGTGCTTGGTGGGATGTACCAAGGTGCAGTGGGAAGGAAACTCTTCACCACATATCCTTTGAACTTAAAATTTTTTGAACCATGTATTATTCATTAAAAAGTTAAAATAAAAAAATACATGCAAAAGAAGCCAAATTCAAGAAGTATATATACTGCACATACATGAAAAAGAAGCCAAACATAAAAGCATATGTGCTTAATGATTCTATTTATATGATATTAAAGAAACACATTTAATCTATGATAATAGAAATCAGAACAGCAGTTACTTCTGGAAGAAGTGAATTTACTGGAAAACAGCATGAAGGAACATCCTAGGGTGATGGCAATGTTCTCCATGGGGATTTGGGTGAGGTTACATGGGTGTACACATTTATTAAAATTCATCAACTACACTTAAGATCCATGCATTTTACTGTAAGTAAATTACACCATAAAGAAAAAATACATATATGAATACAAAAAAGTATGGGCACATATGCTCCAAACTGCTGATGGTAATTATTTTTAGGTAATACTACTACAAGAGACATCTTGTTTATCCGCAATTTGGGGCTTTTATAAATCTAACATGTACTGCTCTCCTGTTAAATAAAATCCACCATCTTGCTTTCTTCTCAGACCCCTTAAACAGATTTATACTTCAGCTAGTAAATAGGTGTGCCAACCCAAAACCCAGCTAAAAATCAGCTCATCACACAGCCTTCTCCAAGGCCCATGAGGTCAAGGACTCTATTCATCTTTTCTACTCCCATATCCCCAGCAACTGGAACAGTGCCTTATGTAAAGTGAGTATTTCATAAATCTCTGATGATGTTCCACTGTAACTGGAGATGTTCTGGACAATTTTGTGATTATGGACACATGCCTATATTATCACTGAATAATGATATGTAGGATAATTCATTGAATAATGAATGTGGTACTGGCTCAAAGACAACAGGATGTTATGATTCATCAAAAGATAATTACAAATAAAGAAAAACAAAAAAGTCTTACTGATATTTAATTGAGGCCCAGGGAGATTCTTTAGGAATCCTAATGACAGACTTCCTTAAAACATTAAGGCCATTATTCTTTCACAAGACAAGAATTTTTCTAAGAAACTACATAACCCAACTATTTCAGACAGACACTTGAATGAAAAAAATAAGTCTCAATCATAATTATCTCTATCACCACGTCCAACAAGTGGGATACTCGAAAACACAAGCCAAACTCCGAAATATCACCTGATTGAAGAATTTAGCTTCAATCAGCAATACAGTGCATCTTCATTCCTAGTAATAGCCATAGAATTCAATATGAAAGACTGCCATTCAATTCATTCAAGTGCAGTCAACAAAACTGTTTTCAGAAAAAAAAAAAGTTTAACACTAAGTATACATTCCCCTACATTTTCTCAGCTCCAACTCTGCATAGTTAGACCACCAGAAAGCATCATACCCTTGGTTTAGTTTCCCACTAAAAAATTTGTACCAGGTTATATTTCATGTTCAGTTCACTTCAGTTCAGTCACTGAGTCGTGTCCAACTCTTTGCTACCCCATTAACCACAGCACACCAGGCCTCCCTGTTCAGCACCAACTCCCAGAGTCCACCCAAACCCATGTCCATTGAGTCGGTGATGCCATCCAACCATCTCATCCTCTGTTGTCCCTTTCTCCTCCTGCCCACAATCCCTCCCAGCATCAGGGTCTTTTCCAATGAGTCAACTCTTCACACGAGGTGGCCAAAGTACTGGAGTTTCAGCTTCAGCATCAGTCCTTCCAATGAACACC